TTTAAGCAGTAAGTTTTCTTCATCAAACCTTTAGATCCGCTGCGCATAGGTTTATGTTGAATGTTTGTCCGTGAATTGTGCATATCGAGATCCTCATATGTCCCAACAATCCCCTGCTCGGACAGTGGATGAAAGCCTACTTCCTGTTGGACCACCGAGTTGTTGTCAGGATTATTGATTAGTCTCACAGTCCTATAGTGAAACCAATCAATGTAACCCAGCTCAGACTCAAGGAACGACTCCACAGGGTAATGTGGGAGGACATGTTGGGCTCTTTGTTGGACCCAAACATTTCCAAGTGCTCGATGATACTCCACCCAATCATAGAATGCCCTCCCAGTCATTCCCTGGCCTCGGTGGTGTGTCTGGTACTCAGCCAAACCCCTAATGATCGGAGGGTCCGGGATGGCTTGCCGACACCCGAACTGACGGATGACCCTATCAGGCAGGTGCTGCTCACGAACGTCCCAACAGAAGATCCACCCTCTATACATCCAGAGGTGTGAACCTTCTATACACGAGGCCGGGAGAGTACCTTCGTCCAGGTGGCGCTTATATGGCACCCAATTGAACTGTAAAAAAATAATAATAAATTTATTAAGTTATAGAAAAATAAAAAAACTCAAAACAAATATATATAATAATCAATATTACTTAATCAAAATCTTACATCATTCTCTGTCAGCCACGTTAATTGATCTCGGATAGCGGCTGTTCCCTTTCCGATGTGTTTCATATTCCTCCGTCCCACCCACCTTAAAAATCAAATAATAAAAAAAAAAACAAAAATTTTAATCACAAAATTTTATAGTTAAAATATTTTAAGTATTAAATATAAATAAATGTGATTACCTTGCTCCTAAGGGACAACCATAGACTTTGTCAAAGTTGGTATCCCTCATTTTTGGGCTAATACGAGGGATACGTTCCCATGCCCAAACCTACAGACGTCGATTGCTTTCTTTCTACCGTGCCATGCCTTCTTGTAACTGACGTCGACTTTCCAACACTGCTTCACATCAGCCTGGACCATGTTAACGTTGTAATCCACTTTCTTCTGAATCTTATTAATTATAAGATTCGCAATCATATGGGCGGTCACGTTTCTGTGGTCATTTCTGTCGACCCGTTGCATGCAAGTGTGTTGGTCAGTCCATTCAGTTACTTCCCACAAATCATCACGCCGTCTGGACTTATTCACCCGAGCCTTCCACAGACAAAGCACATCTGCATTCGATTTGCAGACCAGTTTGAATGTCTTATGATTTGAATCTTTTGACCGAACCTCCCGCAACCTATCGACGTTCCAAGCCATTAGACCCGTTTGGGCTTCTTCCTTGCTCCGGAAAACTGTACCCAAACGTATGGTCTCAATGTCGCCATTCCACTTTGGAATGGCATACTCGTTCGCATCTATCATGGACGGGTCCCATTCACCCATCTCGCGGTATATGTGCTGACCACCAATAGGAAATGGGTGTTCTTCTTCCATGAACTCGGCTTCACTCTCCTCATTAACCGATCTATCTGATTCGGTTTCTGAGGTCTCGTCTGTGAAGTCATCTTCACCGGGAATAAAATCTTCATCGTCCTCATCTGCCGCCCACTCTCTCGATGTCTCTTCTCCAAAATTAGGTACATGAGAAGTCGATGTACCCTCGACATCAAACACTCCCCCGTAACAAGGAGTAAAATCCTCAAACTGTGTAACGGGTGTATTTGCCTGCAACGATAAATGCAAATACACCATGGACATACTAGGAAAGTAATAAATCCATTCAAAACTATTGTTATTGAGTATTGCGGGATTCCACGAACCATCAGGTTGGCTAATCATCATAGTAATCTCCTGAATTGTCCAACCTTCTTCAAACTGACATTTTTCATTAATCATCTGTACCAACTGTTCATATGATATCCTCCCCGGAATTATAAATGAACCACTCGGACGATCTTTAAATGAAACAAAATCGCTTAACATTTCCTTCCCAAAATGCCAGTACAAATTAACAAGGTATGGACCGGGATAGGCCATTTTATACCTGTTGCAAATAAACACTTTCAATTTTTTTTTCCATAAAAACTCAATTTTTACTCTCCAACAAAAAATAAAAAATAACAAAAAATAGCCCCAATCAAATAATCATCCAAAACCATTAAACTCATAATCCAACAATAACATAAAATTCATCTATAATTCAGATAAATTGAAACCCCTAATTCTAACCCTAATTTCGAAAAACCCTAACCCCAACAACAACCAAACAATACACAATTGACAATTTACACACAAAATTTCAATCCTCAATTCAACATACACACATAATCGATAATCAATTAGCAATTTTCAATCTTCAAATACCACCACATTCAAACATATTATACCAATTCTCAATCTCCAAAAAACTTCAAATAATGTAAAAAGTAATAAGACAATATACCTAGTGCGAATGAATTACCGGAAATGAGACTCGTGCCGGTGTTGTCGGTTCACACCGGGATGAAGATTGGATCGAGTTTTTTTTTTTTTTCACGCAGAAAATCGCTCTCTTCTTTCTGTTTTTTCGCTTTCTGTTCGAATGAAATGGAGAGGAAGAGATTTTTTTTTTTTTAATATTAAACGTAAAAAACGTATTCTCAGAATACGTTTACCGACAATTTAGTTGTAAAATGTATTTTCAGAATACGGTTTAATAAAATATTATTTTTTTTAAAAGTTATTTTTCTCTTGAAACATATTTTCATAATACGTTTTCCTTCAAAACGTATTTTCAAATTACGTTTTATAAAAATACATTTTAATTATTATTTTCCTATTTTTTTTTAAAACGTTTTTTTAAAAAAAATACATTTTACCTTTTTTTTTTTTTTAAAACGTATTCTCTGAATACGTTTTCTTGATTAATTTTTTTTTAAGAAAACGTATTCTGCGAATACGGCTGTTTTGTTTTGGTCCACTCTTTTTTTATTTTATTTTATTTTTGTCCACTTAATTTTTTTTTAAAATAAATAAAGCACCCCATTTTAATCACCGTTTATTCATCAGATAATAATTTCTCTTCCAGCAGGGCTACCGCAGAAAATTTGACTCCGTGAGGGACTAAATAACAATTTATCACTGAGGGCCATTATGATATCTGCTGCATCCCTTCAATCCACCAAGAAAAATAAATACAATTTTCTTTCCAAATAAACAAACAATCACCGTTGCTTTCAATTTGTGGAGGTT